TACGGTTTGTGGAAGAGAACAGTCACCGAATGTGGACATATGGTCGATTAGTACGAAGTTAATATATTAAGGGCGGGTTTTATTCACATATAGAAAGACTTACCTTAGAAAACCTGCATGTTTTAACAGCAACACTTTATCCAGACAGAAAGAGAGCAGTAGATTTTTCAGTAATCTGGTTGACTATAATCCGGTAGAAATATTGAAAGGGGTACCGCTTGTTACTGGACTTTAGAGAACAAGCAAAAAGTATCAGTCAATTATTGACCATGGATCAGAGTGTTTTTCTTATGTTCGCACAACAAACGACGAAAGACGCGTGCATTTCTCGTAACATATGTACACAAGCATAGAGACATTTTTATCACTGAGTTGTTGCTGATGGTAAACGACAAGGACCGTATGAATTTGTGACGACTGGTCAGGAACAATCAGTCAGAAAAACGAATCAGATAATCACTGGCGTTAAGACAAATTAATACATGTATCATTTGACGGTATAGATTTTCATGTTTAAAAAATTCGAACATCCTGCTCAAGCAGCTATGGCACACTCAGAGAAACAGTCAGAAGAATCTTGTTTCATCCTTTTAGACAGGCTGATATTACATTAAAACTTACTCATATTATGTTGCTATAATGTTCCTGAAAATATATCACACTTGTTGTCCCAGCCATTACTGACTCACCCGCATCAGACAGTGTAAAAACAGGAGGCAACTCGAGGTACAGACAAGGATTCTGTAACAAAAATAAACCACCCAATTCGAAAGCAGGAGAAAGGCAATAGAATGTCTTATGTCAGGACAGTAAACAATCATTTAATTAATATGTCGATGTTACGTGTGCCAACAAGTACAATACAGAATGCCTGCTACAGATCCGCTAGGAATGAGACACATCATGAAGCGTTAGTAGCACCACAGTTAAATAAATAAATATCTTTATTCTCAAGTTATGAAATTAACATGAGAGAAGCCAGTTTACAGGCCTCATCAAATTGATAATTGCAGGAAAACATAAAAGGTTCTAGCAGTATTGAATGATGCAGAGGGAGGACATTAAACTCTATCGTGATACCAAGTGTCTAAATGTTATGAAAATAGCAGGAAAATATCACTTTATAGTACATATACACCGTTCTGAGTTTAAGTTATTTCTGCTCACAATTCTTTCTTTACATCAAACGGCACAATATCTGGTGTTTGCGTTGTGAGTAGTGGACATGATCGACCCACCGGCAAGACCCGGTGTTTCGTCAGATAAACATCTATTTTAACAGCAATTCTTATGTTCGTAGATTTATTGACCAACAATAACTCACTCCAATGATTTCAGGAATAAGTAAGTATCCATACAATCATTTAATCCAGGTGAATGTCTAAGTTTAGGCGTTTCTCACTCTTGAAGTGTTACCCTTTCCAGCAATTCACACTGGTGGTACTGGTCATGATTTTTCTTGCGACGAACCGTCTGACCATTCCCAACAGTATTAGTAGCCGATACATTCTGAACAGGTGATTAAACCAGAGACCAATTTATATATATACATATGTATTGGTTCAGGACGTCACTTACCTGAATGGCTCCGCACCACACATTTTCTAGTACTCTGTAACAAGAGACCTTTTCATATGAAATTACTATGCATCAAATACACTTCTCGAATGTTACCGCCTATGCTGATAACAAAAGATACTGGAAGTCTGTGTATAAATACTGCCGCTTGGACTATCGACTGTTTCAGCATCTATTCTCATCCAATACCACAAGTATTCCCAGCAGAACTAACCTATATTGTCTTTAAATGTAACATAGTGACCTGAAAATGCATTGATATAGCCAGACACTTTGGCTATTTAACTGTGGATACTTTATTGATACTCCAGATTGTGTAAATGGGTCCTTTGTGGTTAGCAAGGCTAAAAACTGAAGATCATTCCAAGTAATAAACCGTTATATTACTAATCAGCAAACTATGCGAATGGACTAACTATGTCGGTTGGTCATAAGGCAAACTTTGAACACTGCGCGCTTTTGATATTAATAGTGGAACCCGTCTGTGAGATCGGAGATGGAAACCCATATCCGTCTCATGAACTTCAGCAAATTTTAATCAGCTTACGCACACTAATGACTTGACATGTAAACTATTTAATACTAGATAACAGTTCGTAAACTTTCGAAAATTATGAATTTGACAGCGCTTGTAAACTGGTATTCCTCATGTTGATCCCGTTCAATGAGGACGATGCTTATTATTATCCAAACTTTAACACTACGTACGCTGTAAAGTAATGCTTCTTTGTTCGTCTCACAACTAGCAGGACCCTCTACAGTTTTTAATCGAGTTTAATGACATTCCGTCAGTACTACTGAGGGTTCAGGTCTTGTAGATATTTTGAGGTGTATCAACGTGATGAAGCCTGTAAACTAGCTCTTCTCATGTTAAACTTTATTTTAACGTGAGAACAAAACACTTATTTATTTGTTCGTCGTATTGAAATTAATTGAAGACTGGAATCATCGTTGTTCAATAGTGGTGAATATTACCAGTGTAAATGTTCCTAGACTTCACACTGAATTATGCAGCATTGTCGAGGCGATACACTGGCTGTTAATTGACTTCTGTCAGGCGAATTGATGCAAGACAAAGTACAAGAGAAATCTGTTGCATAGCATCATTATGGGTGTGTTGCCGTTAGGTAAATTGATCTCTTGGGTTGGATTGTTTATCCAGATTTCCGCTGCATTTGTCACGGACCAGAAATTTGGGACCACTTATTGTGCTTGGGGTTTCGTATGCGGTAGCATTTAGGGTTCTGGTAGGGAGGTGAGTTGGCTGTTAGGCTGTTCAAGAAACAGGAAAATCGGGACGAGCCGGTTGGATACCTGTAACATCAGTTTCCAGTGTTAGGTGCGAAGTAGGATTTCTAGTAAGTTGACACTTTTTGATCGAACTAACGCTGACGACTTTTTCGCCAGGCTGATACTGGAAAGAGAAGAGAAAAGAAAGCGTAGGGAGAAACTGGATAATAAAATACCAAGTAAAACAAACTGGGAGGAGAGTTCTTGTCTTTTTAAAGTCATTTGGGCTATATGTAAACTTTAATTTATTCATATGAGGATGAATATTCCTTTTTTCTTATATGTTCACACGAGTTATTAGATAGGCAGTTTTTGTTGGTAAACTTGAAGGGAACACTGGTTATGCATTTGTACTACACAATCCAACCAGATGGACTAGTAATCAAACACCCTTTATGAGTCCATTGAGGTAAAAAGTACTTGAGATTTGTGATAGCTTTACTCTATACGTTTAGAGGTCCTAATATACTTTCGTTAGCCCAGAAATTATAGATAGTGCCTAGGCGAGTGATAGACTGATCATCTGTTAGGAGCTCACTAAATGCAGAACAAATGATAGATAATGAGCCTGCGGTACGTATTTCCTCAGGAAGTCTATTCCAGATGTAAGAGAACTTATTGATGAAGAAGCTTCTTCGCAATTCGGTCTTGCAACACTCAGTTTCCGCCAATGGGTTGTGACTACGTAAATAGTAAGTAGATATTACAACTATTTTAATTTCCGGGCCACATGAATACACTTGCTTACGAGGCAGTTTATAGTAAATATAAGATTCATTTTAAGTTGCTTCTTCCAGAGAGGTTCCAGTCCCAGCGTGTTGCATCTCGAGGTGTAGTCTAGGCTGTAGTCAGCTCCTAGTGTTCTTCGCGTAAAGTGGTGTTGTACTCCTTCAGTTAGCTAAATGATGAGGTACATTTGAACAGCGGTTAAGACTCTGCAGCAGCAAAGTCAATTTATCTTTGTCTTTGCTAAAGTGTAAAAAGAATTGAAACTTCGGGGATTGTCCTGGTGCGAACTTGACAGATACAGGGACCAATCATTAACTGCTTGAGCTTGTTGTATACCCACAAATATGAGACCATGAAAGAATACAACAACGTAGTCGGATGAAATAGTAGATTTGTGGGGTGAAGCCAAGATACCGATGCGTTCCAGCTAACTGGCTAGAGAGGCAATCACGAGCAGTGCGACGTAACACGACAGCATGCCAAATGACGAGGATGCTTGACCGGCTGCTCTGAATTCAGTGAGTCCAGCAAAACTGTGAAGGTCAGCATCAATGCCGAATCTCGTCGAACCCTAGGAAATCGATTCTGGAGAAGTGTGACGCTACAGAACAAACATAAATGCAGTAATCAAGAAGACTGGAAAAGCATGTCGTTCCACGACGAAATAATATTTTGAACCCCATTCATGCAATTGGGTCGAGTTTATTCTAAACGATCTGTACAATATGTCCGAAAATGGCTTTCAATAAGAAGTATGTTCTGAATCCCATAAAACTCTTAAAAATGGACATTCACGTACTCAGTGTCAAGTTCTAAACATTACGATTTGTTACGCTCAGTTTAATCCCTGTCTGTGTAGAAGATACAACGAAGCTATGACCACAAAAAACAGTCAACCGGCCCTCTATATACTTATATGTATATGGTACTTGAGATAGCCAGTTTGATGTAAGTAATCAACAGCTGATGACCCCCTTTATCCCACCAAATATGCAATAGACTTGTGTCGTGCAAAATATTAAGAAACGGTTTCCCAATTTATACAGGTCCTGTTTTGCTTCCCACCAGGCCATGAGATCTCTGTCGTAATGGAAAGGTAGTACAGATAGCCAGAAGAACATTGTCGCTGGGAAGTACTAGTTTTCTGTGTCAAAAATCAAATCATACAACTGACTGATAAAAGAAGTGGTGAATGCATCATCAACCAGTTTATCCAGAAGAGGTCCTGAATAACAAGATGGACTAACAGAAAGGTGAAATAGGTTATTAACTTTCTATTCTCAAAACAGGAATAAACATGTAGCTGCTTCGCTGCATTGCTTGAAATTATTTCAATATTTCAAAATCTTCTTCGGAATAATGTTTGACTAACAATTTATTTTCAAGCCAAATATATGACTACTAATTTTTCTGAATGTTGAAGTTAGAACAATATGGAATTGTTTACGTCTTCGATACACGTAGCGAGTAAATTTGAAGAGATTTTATGCGTTATCGCAAATTAGAAGTTTATGGAAGCACTGAGATCAAGACCCAACTCTCTTTATTCTGAAATATTTTTCACCATTGAAAAAGTGAATTTTTTGACAGGTCGTAAGTATTTGGTGGCCTAGTATGATTTTGATAGGACAGTGCTGATGAAAACCATTCCATCAGGAATGAAAACTGAGATAAGTTATAACTCCCATGGAAGAAGAGAATTCAAAAGCGTTCATGCATAATTAGAAAACCCTCATGAAAATTAGCAACCGGAACCTTTTCTGGCCTATTTATGGCTACAAACTACTGATTTGGATAGAGCGGCAATTGGTTAATAAACTTTGGTTACTGCAACTCTTAAAACTTTCACTGTTCAGTTTTTCTGAAAATAAAAAATACAGTTTCAATATAGTAGTTCTAGAGGCGGTATGTTCGCCGTTGTTCTTAATACAATTATTCAGAGTCCTACAAAATTTTGCGAGGAATTCGTTGCCTGCAATCCAAGTAATATTTGTGTTGCAATAAAATGGATGCGGACATATAAAACGACGGCACAGCCTGAGACCAATATGAGAGAATTTTTAGACTGCGTCCTGCCAGATGATGCGTCGGAGATCTACCTAATTATTCCCATTACCTTTCACTACACACTTGGAGACGAGAACCAAATACTAGACAAAATTTCACATCTAAAAGTCAAAGCTAATGTCCACATTAGACTCATCATTATGGATAGTGTAAGTGATTTTATTTTCTTCTACTCAGCACTTCAGTGGTTACCATAAGTGTATATAAAAGTGTTTCCCCTTGATAAATCATCTTAGGTTTTATAATGATTACAACGTAAATGAAAGAAAGCCCAGTACTGATCATAGGCTGCACGCATCAACCATTTAACAGACTGTTCCCATTTGAACCAAGTCCCCACTATCTTTTTGGCACAAAGAGTCATTTAGCATGTTCTAACTGGTACCAAACTAACACCAAGTTCAAACTTTATTCAAAAGGTGCTGGAGTTTAAGTTTTAAAAACCGTTATCTTTAACATGGAGCATATAGTCATACAATGGAACATTTCTTTGTATCACTGTGTAAGCTACTGGAATGTAAAGCTTTCAGAACTCATGAATGTTTCGGATGTACGTGTTGGGATATTGTTTATCCACTACTTATTAGGCCATAAAAACTTGAAGCGAGACGTAAAACCATCGGTTTCCTGTATTCTTACTATTGATGCTGGATGTTAGGTCAGATAAATATTTAGTCTGTCGAACATTTTTGGCCACTCTTTCTCAACGACCCAACGTCCCACTTAAGCATTCAGTGAAAGTGGGGATTAGAAATCAGTTGTTAAGTTTGAGTTTGACTGCTCTACAGGCTGTCATACACAACCTCGACAGATGCAGATAGCAACCAGCAGCTCTACCTACTTGATGGTCACAAGTTCTAGAACAAGGAAGAACTCATTTGAATAGGCACATTTTAATCACATATCTGTTGAACATTGACAATATACCGAAATGTATGAGCCGTCCAGACAAGGGATCGTGAGTGAGCACTGCAAAGTAACATGATAACGTGCGGAATGGCGTGGATGCGTTAACGTAAGCTTTCAGCTTAACAAGCCAGTTGAAACTATGAGGGTTGTCACAAATGATGAGTGCCGCTGAAATTTAGGCTAATAATTCTTCGAGGCTAATCAATGCTTCAGCTCACTACTTCCTCAACCCATTCGTGAGGGTAGTGAGACGACACAAGCCAGAATTAAAAAGTTAATGTGTTCACCACTGTTGAAACCCGTCTTGTACCAGCTGACCGGATAAATCGTCATCTGTTTGTCTGTACCTATTCTAGGGCGTCATTCTAAATGACAATACAGTCAACAGAGTGGAAGTTCAACGTCGATGCTTGCATTTGTTTGACTTTCAGTCCAGTATTCGTTATGCCTAGAATGGAAAACATAAGCTTGTTTCACCTTGATGAAACCTGACCAGAACAAAAATGACAGAAATGGTTGCATTACAATAAAGAAGAATATACTGATTTCACAGCTAACATTGACTTTGAAAAGTGACGTGATCTTTAAGAAAAAAGAATACTACACTGATAAAATAGTTGGAAGTTCAGAATCAGTGGTAAAAGTGGTTCCATGTGGAAAAATCAGATGGTGATACACATTTACGTGTTCTAATTAGTTAGGTGCACCCTCAGAATTTCAAGAAATCACATTATTCAGCTTGAACATGCTTTTCTCTGTGGCACATACAGTGGTGTCTACAAATTTGGGTGGGCTATCAATGTGCTCAAATATTGGAGGTTCTTCGACCGGTTTGATACACTGAGAGGAGACAAATTTGCCTATGATACAGTCGTTTTTGAAGTTAATTGATTAGAAATAGTCAAAGTGGACATTATGTTTGTTTCTGTTTTGACCCGTAATCATAAAACGTTTTCTGTCGCCCCATTAATTCGAATGATCCACCACAGTGTGGCTCAAATGGTTGGAAAAAAGCACCACCGTAGACAAAACTTGGAATGTTTTCTATTAAACAGAGTATCAGAAGATCACTCAACTGTATAAAAACTACATATGGTGTAACTGAACTCATTGCAGTCTCAATCCCAATAACGCAAGACTTTCCATTGAAACAGATGTAGAATTTGTAAATAAGGCCTACTCATTTGGTAAATGGACAAAATTTCCTTAGAAGATCTACACAGAAGGACAAACAATGATGGAATCGTTCTACCAAACTGTTTACCTGTGGATGAAGATAGGCTGTCGTCCGAAACCGAGTGCAATTTAAGAGCGTAGTTATAGTGCAAAGTAATCCGAACTCGAATTACCTCCCATGTTGCCACTCATATTGCAAAAATATTTAAAGCGATGGTTTCGGAAGTAATTTCTTTAACTTCATAAGAGCTCTGCTACTAAACTTTAATGCAAACTTAACTCCGAAAATTTAAATTTAATCTCAAAAGTATGACAGTATTATTAGTTTCTTCTATAGTTTTCACTCTGACCGGTCTAAATCATACTTTTACAAGACCAAAAGCAGCTCTGCGTTTATTCAAAATGCATAACTGAAATTATATGATCAAATATTTCGGGTGTTTTCTTACCGGAGGAATTACTCAGGAATTATCTTCAAAATATCAGTAATCAACCGACGGTAGCTAGCGAATCAGGTACATGTCTTTTTATGAACAGTGTTCATTAATGCTCCATATTCTTTTTTTACTTTAAATTCACTTCTTCTAAATTTTCACTGACTTATTCTTAGGTATAATGTATAGCTTACTTTTAAGCAAGGCGGCACTGTGACACTGTCATGTTTACGTTTAAACTTCAAAATTCTCTGAACTTTTTGTTTGCTTTATGCAATGCCATATCGTCTAGATTATCGATTTAGTCTCTTTAATTCTGAGATATATCCAAGTTGTTTCATGAAGGTACAAATTCTGTGTGATGACTCCACGTATAATGCAAAGTTTCCTACTTTTAAATTGTGAGACAATTTTTAAGCCATCTCAAATATTTACCGCGCATGCTTATTAGGGGTTAATAAATCATGAAATGCTAGTGAGTAGAATTTATTTGTATATCCTAAATGTTTTATACTATCCACTTATCACTATTTACTATGATGTTATTTTTAACTCTTGTATGAAGGAGTTTATCAGCTATTGTTTTTGATGAATTTGACATAATACTTCTCTTTTTTTCGGAGAAAGAATGATTCAGTCAATGGTAAGTACTGTGTTGTTTACAAAGTGTCACCAATAATTTTTAGTTACCTTTTTATCCTTAGACTACAAATAATGACCATCCTCAACTTTTGGACACCGAGAGTTCTAAAATTAAAAAGTTGATGCGTATTTCTCAGATGACATTTGGAACTTTTGCAATCATTCGAATATGTTCAGCTGTTAAAATGTGTTCTAGTGGTTGCACTACTTGGTCATTAGATATTAAAAGACCTGGTTCCAATCAATCAACAGTGTCAAAAAGCTCTAAACAGATGCAGATTCATATGCTGTCATTCAGCAACTCCTCACAGTCCATTGTATTACCGAATGGGAAAGTATACGTAGTGAATAATTCCAAAGATCACGAACCAGTGTTTATGAAACCAACACTGGTCGCTTCTTGTGAGTTTAGCAACAAATGTAAGTGGAATGTTTTGTATACAAACTTAGATCATGCATTCATTCAGTCAAGCATGTGACAGATGAAAGTTTGCCGCTTTGATACTGCATAGATTGTCATTAGTTACAAGTAATTTTCTATATACAGTCGGCCGCAAAAGTGATTCTACCAAGTATTGTAAAAACGTCAGTATGTGACTAAAGTATCAGCGGAAGTTGTCGCTCTCATTCTATGACCGAAATGAAACTGTTAAGTGACCAAAAAGGAACCTTTAGAAACAATTAAAAAGTTATTTAACTATCAGCAGTATATTTTGCTACAATGGCCCATTCAAATAATCCAAAATATTCTTGGTAAAACTCCTCCAAGGATAACATCATGGTTGATGTATAGCCGCTTCTTCCTGGGAGATACACGTCATAGAATAACATTCCTCAGTGTAATATAGTTACACTGGGAGTGAAAGCGAACTGAAAGTAGTGTATTGTTATCTGGTAATTGCCTAGTATAGAACTTGATGGAAAAGGGACAGAACTATTCTTAGATTTAAGATGAAGGTGTATTATGGTAGAAACAGTTGAGTAGTTTGCTCAACCAATAGAGATTGCACATGGAACAGTTCTGAAATGCAGTTGCTTCTTTACATGTCATACGGGCATTAGTGTTTTTGAAATGACATGTTGATATATCTGTTCACTTCATAGATTCGTTATTATGACGGCATAAAGCGTATGTCATTCATCTATTTAGGTGAAGAATAATCATGCGATGCAGGTAACTTTTATCACTGAGTTATATTCATTTGAATTTCCGCCAAATTTTAGGCATCTACAACACAAAAAGGATATAAAAAAAGAATTTCACAAGTAAAAATAAGCTGACTAGTTATATAACCTATGTATCTCATCACTATTTCAACGTACTATGTACATCTGACCGAATGCCGAAACGCAACACAAGAGAGACTGTTTCTACTTCTAGAAGAGGAGCTGAAGTTAAGAGAAAGGAAAACAGTTGTAGTGTATAAAATACATGGATAATGTCAAAAAAGATGTAGAAACATGGCTTATTAGATGTTAGCAGAAGCCTTTCAAACTCGTATGCATGTGAAGACTGGATTATATTCAAATCTTCAACCTACCTAGCTATTTGGGAAATGTTGGTAAAATTTCATCATGACTAACAAACTTTAGGTGATAAGTAATTAAAGTGGTGAACAGTAATTTACCTAGTGTTCGCTAGTAGTGTAATCCACGACACGCTTTTTCTCCTATTTGGGACTCTTCAGGTGGATGCACCTTCATATCAACGAGTGATGGTGTTCTCACTGAGAGTCAGAAATAGCTCCCATCGCTTCAAATGTTAGTGTTATGCAATAGACCAATGAGGCACCAGACGGACCTCTTATACGATGAATGTGAGTTCGAGTCTCAATTATAATGCCATCACTCTCTGATATGCAGATATATCCATCGGACGTGTCCCAAAAAGGACAAAATGCACACTGTGGACTCCAATACTACTCACCTTTAGGTAGAATTCAAAGAAGGGAATAATAAAGCAATATCGAGGCATCTACAAAGAAGCTATATGCGAACAGAGATCGATCATTCCAATCCGCAATAATGACAGAAAATTACAAGTATCAATAAGAGCTAGATAGAACATTTGTTGTGGCCTAATACGTTTGCAATTTCTGGAATACTTAAAAAAAACGTAAAAGGTACTTAAATAATTTAGTTGATGTCTTCTGTCCAAATATCTTTGTGCAAACCCACAAAAATAAAGATTATCTCAACAGTCGACTTCGAATATTTGTTTAGAAAAGCAACAGAAGTACAAGCACTTATCATTTTAAACAATGTACTATATTTTGTGGAATTTGTGATATCATGTTTGGAACAGTAATAAGTGTGCAACTTTAATGAATCTGTAATAAAGATGACCTCTAAAATCATCACTCAGTCTACTAGAGAGACAGAGCGGAGTAAAATTTAGGCGTGGATATCTCAAATGTTCTGAAACCTTAAGAAAATGTAAAGTCAGTGTTTTAACAATATAAACCTGTGACTAGGGAAACCTAATAATACTACTACCACAAAGTAATCAATAGTCAACCGATACGTGAAAAGACAATGTTTTTTCCTTGATGTCTATACATTTGATGCACTTTCAGTACAAAGCACACTGAAAATGTGAAATACGAAATGAAAAATACGCTCATAAAAATCGCATTTCAGAAATCATCCAACAATCTTAAGAAATAACTTGAGTATAATTCGAAGAATTGTAACTGTTTTGACCTGGTCAATAAGTGGAGTTACTGTTTTCTCAAAGAACAGAATATTAAATATTGACCTACGAAATATTTTCAATGCTATCATACAAAAATACGTACTATACCATAATGTTTCACTTGCCTACGAGTTCAAAATGTCCTCTTTTTAATAAAATGTAGACCTATATGTGTATCTCAAACTTATTCTGCTAGTTTTTTAAAGTAAATCACTGTGATGAATAGTCTACGGTCTATTCCCAAAGTATTTTCTTTAATAGTTTTATAACAAGGCATATAAGTGAACAATGTTGTTTTCAGTTAGATCTCCTCAGACTTCACTCTGATATGCAATACTTTCAACATATATGTAAAATATGAACCAATCAAAGTTATTTGTCAGGCAACGATAACAAGGATGCAGACTGTGTACTTTAGAATGATAAAACAAGTAGTAGTTTAAGGGATAATACGAGTCGTCAGTAAGACGTAACAATGTAAACAGGTCTTCAGACAGACAGACACAGTAGGTCAAACCTTGGAAAAAGATAACAAAGTTACGTAATATTAAAGAATGAAGACGATGAACAAATAAAGTTTGAATGTAATGGTGTGAAAACGGTGATAAAACAACATAAAAAGAGAAGCGGATTTTTAAAGATATATAAGTACCGTCGTTCATTTAGTCTTCCCTCGTCAAGGCAGGGATAAAAGCTGTACAAATTTCTTTTGAATACAGAGTTTCGGATTATTCATTCAAATTCTTGGAGCCTCAGCTATATGTAAAAGTCAGGTTCAAACTCCATCAGAAAGGTTCAGTGGATTGTGGCAAATCACTTCGAACTTTTTCGTTTAATCCACCCTGTAGCTGCTATCAGCTAGATGTGATAAAACAGAGCTTCTTATAGATTTGATTTATTGTTCTCCTAGCTACGAAGGGAAGTGTTCGATAGTACGTTGGTTAAACTGCCTAGTCATAAGCAGGATATAACCGTCTATATAGGTGTAATTAAATACACAAGGAAGTGACGAAGCTCGGTAACTTGTTCTTTGTTTAACACGGAACAAATCACTGAGTAGAAAACAGTGGTTTTATCGTTTGATTTTTAATTGTGTGCAAATTTTCAAATATTTTGTATCTGACTCAAATTCAAAAGGATTGGAATAATGCTTTGTTTAAAAAGGAAATTTTAATTACTCATATATTATTTTTATAATGATTCAGTGTTTACTTTTTTTTACTCTTATTCAAGATTTCAGACCACAGTGGTGTACAAATTCATCCAACACTTGTCAATGTTGTCTTTCTTCAAATTTATGGTCACGTGTTTCTGTGAATGAAAAACTAGTCAGGGATTTAAATCGTCGAATTTATGAATCAGCCAAAGAAGAAGCAAACTCAAAGAGGTGTTTGTTTAATTGGTCTACCAGCGGATCTGACCAGATGTCAAGTTTAATAAATGATCAAAAAGTGCTAGCTAGGCGATCAGATGATGGTCATTATTATCTAGGATCAGTTCAAGCTGTAGTAAGTTATTCCTTAGCATAAAAAATGATCTTATTAGTATCAATTACTCATCAGTATCATTCCCTTTTTTGGTTTTTGAACTAAATCAAAGGAAAATTCGACATTATTTTTGATGTGTGTTGTGCATCTGTCAACAGTTAGATGATACTCGATGATGAATCCAAACTGACTGTCGAAAGAATATTCATTTAATGTTGACTAATTTAAAAGCTATCTACTTTTACTGAGAAATGGAATCGTTTGTCATTTTTTTCGGAGATGATCATTACGAGTTCCAATCTACAGCTATCTGATTAGTGAAAATGTTGGCATGGTTTGCAGAAAATATTATCTGCTTGATAACTTCATTTTCCCGCTGAAACTCTTGAAAGTCGTCAGTAAGAATGCAAGAAATCATTGAAATGTACATTTCCTATTTATATCATCATTAAAATTGGGACTAACTAGTCAATTATCTTTCGATTATGTTAGATTATTAACTGAGCAAAAAACTTATGTAGAACAAATTATTTTATTATTATTTATCAGCACGTTCTTTTTTATACGTACTCTTGGTGTAAGGTATACTTTCATTGGAAATGAGTGCATCGATACACATGGTGTATAACTGAACTCAAGATAGTGAGTGACACCCATGGATTACCTTGATTACTCAAGGGGAATTCGCTAGATAAAAGAACCTTTTAGTAAAGCAAACTTCATTTGATTTCGAAACTACTTACATTTATATAGTTCTGGAGGTTTCTGACCTCCTATTTTACAAGATATCTACAAGTACTTCAAACAAACACTGTGGCTTAGTTTGAATGAAAAGACAAGCAAATGACCTCATAGCCCGTCCCATTTCTGTTTCTGATTTGTGTTAATTAGTCGTCTGTCAAAGGACGAGTATACTGCTCTGCAGTCCGCCCTGTCAAGTCAAATGGATGTGAGACGTGACCGTTAAAAGTAGGAAATATGAAGCGATTACAGAGCTTTGATCCCAGGTAGCTTCGTAACATTCCTCATGTTTGGTAAGAAATCACCATGTGAGCAATGTTAAAGTCAGGCGAAGGGTACTAGGTAAGATAGGCAAGTCGATTGATTAAGGTGAGAACCTTAGTCAATGGAAGTGGCTTGGACATGAACTGTGTATACCAAGTCACTGCCTACCTTAAAGTACCATGCTAGGGAAAGTTTTGCTAGGTTGTAAGAGGGTTCAGCGTGGCCAGATCAAGATCAGTGCATAAAGTCCCTCATTGCTGGTCTGATCTGTATGGGAGTTGTAGACTACCTGCCTGGGGTCCCTAAGATGATAGGGATCAGTGGTTGATAATTATTGGTGATATGGCTGAAAATCGATCACAATGGTATAGATGCATTCACTGTTTGACGTTTTCTAAAGCTTGAATATCTGCGTTGACTTTTACATTCAAGTTGTTTATTTTCTCAAATAATTTATCTACTTTGATATCACTCTCCATCCATTTGCTTTTTATATACTACTGTGAAGTGTGGTAACTTTAAGTGGCGCAATTGTGTGTAAGGTTCCACACTGATTTTGTCTGTCTGTCTGTCTCTAATCTGAAATATAATCAAGTGAAATCTATGAGTAGATAGTTTTTTTATTCTTAAGATCAGATGTCGTGTAGTCTTCGTTACGGTGGGACCTGTTCTACTGCAGACAATATTCCATGTATTCTGCTCTCAATAAAAGAGCTACACTATCATTTCTTCCATAAGTATGAAAGTACGTATCACCTGCGGAAATCAACCCTGTTAATACACCTTTCAAGATTCAAGCTGATGAATCACGTATAACTCAGCCGGAGAATATATATATATATATATATATATATATATATATATATATATATATATATATATATATATATATTCCACTGTAACAATAATTCTCTGCACGCATATTTCGACTACTTACTATTGTCATACTAAGACTTATGACCAGGATATTCGCTGTACACAAAATAAATGAGTGTTAACATTAGTGAGTGTATGATGAAAATGTAAATGACAGTTACTGAATCTCGAAGAGTTATTTATAATTAGTATTACTCATCTATCATTTAGTTACTACTAGTATTTTCACTGATCTGTCATTGTTACTCATCACCGATTACATTTTTTGGACATTAATAATTTTAATTTGATCGAAATATAAAAAAGAAGTGGCACAAAAGGTGGCTATCATGACTCGGTGGCCTCGTGGATAACTCTATGGCATTTGGAGCGATTGTTCCAGGATTTGAATCTTGGTAGGAACAACACCACTCACAGAAATGCAGGTATATCCGTTTGACAAGTCCGAAATAGGAAGAAACGTGCATCGTGGATTCCACTGCTAGCCATTATCCATCATTTATATGAAAGTGAAAAATGTCTCACTTAATTGTCCATACCCTATTTTGTGTTACAGAAATCTAGTTTGCCTTACGATCAAGTTCTTGTACGATTTGGTCCGATAAAGTGTCTAACAAACTCCAGCTTAACAAAATATCAACCTGGTACTTTGGATTCAGACATCTTCGATTATGAATGGATTGATTTAATGGATATTATTGATTTGAAGCACGCTATCAAACATTCAGTTGAGCCAGGAGATTGTGTACTTATTCCCCAAACTTGGCCTTTACCAAAGTGTCCCATAAAAAATAAAACTAAACCCACGAGTCTCAAGAATCTTCGTTATTATGCAGCAGTAGTAGTCTCTAGTTCTGAACAAAGTTTTGACACATGTAAGTTTCGTATTATTTTCTAAAGAGAAACGCGCCTTACCCATAGAATCTAGGAACTCCCTCCTACACCTGGGACAACCATCAAACTAAATATCTTGTATATTTGTATGCATTTTCTCTGATACTTATCGGCATTATACAAGGATAACACAGGATAAAATGAATCACCAAAGGCCTGCACCACAGCTTTCAAATCACTCTTGTTCATGCTTAGTTGAGATGTCTTTCAACCTAACAAAAAGTCCATTTCTGATACTTGGGGATATTAGATTATGAGAGAAAATAAATGGCCACTAGAATTTGTTCAGTTTTATTTCATGTGCTTTAACCTCTGACTGAACTCTTCTTATCAAGTGTGCAAGGTGGTCTGTATAATGAACTCATCTTTTCTCACCGGTTGTCTCCTAATACCCAGAATAATGATTTTATCACTTTTTTGAAGTTAGTATCCATTGTGGACTGATATCAGTCGGAGAATACCAACTTAAAAAATCTCTAAATCCCCCCAAACCCACCAAATTCGTTATTATCATTTTATTTCCCCTTTTAAATATATGGGGTCACCCTTGAAACCGTCTTCTTTGTGAGTGAAGAGTGCACAGAAAATTTAGAACACTTGATACAGTCATGGCACTAATTAGTATGAGATAACTCACATATTGAAAGTGATTTTCAAATAATTAGAGGATTGGTAAAAAATATTCTCATGATTTCGCTACCGAATTCAGCTACATGCAGTTAAAATAAGACAATTTTATCTGTGGTATGGTTAACAAATTAAATCAATTCATACATTCAAAAATGAGGAACTGACCTAATCCTGGCATATTTATACTTTACTGAGACTATCTCATTACTTACAGTTCACTGTAAGTAACTCTAAAAATAAAGTTCATCGTCATATTGGCTACCTACATCTCTTTTCTGGATTAGTGTACTTTAATCCAAAGAAGAGGCCGATCTTCAGTCGAACTCGTTTGATTCAAATATGCTGGTAAATCAACAACTTCATCTTAGCTCACTCTGATTTGTTAAGGTCATGGATGACTACTGCTACTGCTATTACCATTATGTTTCATAAAAGCCCTTCAATTATTTATAAGTTTTTAATTAGTAGTGAATTTCTTTTTGTTAAAATTCACTGGTGAAACACAACAATTTTACAACTAAAATCCATAACAATCGAATTTCTTCCCCAACGACGAATGTACTGTTTATCTCTAAAATCACTAACTTGGTTAGATTTTTCGGTTGTTTTTGCCAAACCTAACCTCGCCTGCTTAACTAGTTCACTAGTTACTGGTCTTTCCTAAGCCCGGATAAAGAGGAAAGGTTAGACATAGGGCTAGCAACCCTACCCCGGGAAACCAGTCCACGCGCTAAAGAAACTTCTGAGTATAAAGAAAATATGAAACGTGAAAATATATTTATTCCTCGCTGGAATCGGAGAGACGAAATTACGCCGTTTGGTGAAAGCCTTCGGGAAGCCAATTGGCCGACTTCTCTTCTCTCGATGAAAGCGAAAATAAGAACTGGGACATGGAATGTCTGCACTATGTATGAACCTAGCAAGGCTTCCCAAAATACAAAAGAGATGAGAAGGTATGGCATAGAAGTGCTGGGCTAAGAATCTGTGAAAGTAGATTGAATGGAAGTGGACTCTCCAAACTGTCAACTACAGAGTCAATAATCTACTCCAATATTGTCACCCAGACGACAACAACCAGCACATGGAGGGAATGGTTATCATAATGTCTCCAAGAACATGGAAGGCTCTCTCTCATGCAGTGGGAACCAGTCTCCTCCAGGATCATGGCAGCAAAATTCGATTCAAAAGGAAGAAAAGTCAGAATCATACGCTACGAACCTACAAATAATGCAGATCATGAGAAGAAGGAGAAATTTTATAGACAACAGCAATCAGTAACAGACAAGATCATACTCCAGATGGTGACATCAAAATTCTAATGAATGCCAAACTGAGAACGGAAAACACAGCAACAGAAGTGATCATGGATTGCGAAGCACTCAATGAAATGGACGAGAATGGAGAACTGCTTGCAAACATCTACTCATTTAACGACTTCGTGATTGGAGGCAATGTGTACAAACACAAGGATATTCACAAATCGACATGACTTTCATCAGACACACTGAAATCAGATCGATTTCATCTCAATGTGAAGTAAGTGGAGACGCAGCCTAATGGACACAAGATCAGATCAAGAAGTGGATCAGATGTAGGTGGTTCACACCACTCACTATCTAGTGCAAGCAACTTACCTTCAAAACCAAGATGAAAGCCTTGAAGGAAGTTGGCGATAGGCCACAGTTTAAATTCAACACCCAGAACACAAACTGAAGGACGGAACTACAGAGGATATCTTCACGTCAGTCAGCTATCAAGAGAAAATGGGAGACATGAGGCGACATCCATGAGGAAACCTGTGTGGAAGAACATTGGAACTCTTTGATGGAGATGTGGAAGGAAACCCGAATAACCGTATTAGGAAGGAAGAGGAAACAAGATCAGGAATGGATCTTGATGGACACATGGAAGCTGATAGAGCAGGGAGAGGAGGATGGTGAAGCAGAAGATAAACCAGTGCAAGGATGCACAACAAGAAGAGGAACTGAGTCAATATATCAAACACTACACTGGACAAAGAAGTGGAGAAGAGTGCACGCAAAGACAAAACACACTTCTACGACACATTGACAAGCGAAGCAGAACAGGCTGCAGGTAGGAGAGACCTGACAACATTATATCACATGACCAGGTTAGTATTCGGGACGAGAACAATGCAGACGAAATCAGTGGGAGATAGTGAAGGGAATCTAGTTACCAAAGAGGAGAAACAAAGGGAACGATGGGCTGACCACTTTAAAAAGCTCTTGAATCTACCACCACCTGCAGCCACAGAACTACAAGTAAACACACGCCCTTCGACAAAAGTTGAAGTACTGAACGCCATAGGGCTACTGAAATGCGGGAAAGCAGCGGAACCAGACGGAATTCTCCTAGAAGCACTGGGAACAGATGCAGGGACAATGGTGTACATGCTCACACCACTATTGCAGAAGGTGTGGAAGGAAGGGAAGGTACCTGCCTATTGATTGGAAGATGGGTTACCTTGTAAAACTGCCGAAGAAGGGAGACCCAAGTGTTTGCAAGAACTGGCGAGGAATCATGCTCCACTCCTGTCCACCCAGAGCAGGCAAAATATTAAGCCACATCATCCTGGAGAGACTAAAGGATGAGCTAGATTGAAAACTACGACTAAAACAGGCTGGCTGGCTTCAGGAAGTACAAATCATGTGCAGATCAAATTGCAATGCTACGCTACGCATCATCATAGAACGAAGTATAGAATGGTAGTCAACTCTCTACCTCAACCTCATCGATTTTGAAAAGACCGGCCTTAGACAGCGTCGATCGAGAAGTAATTCGGCAACTGCTTCAACACTACGGAATACCACAAACCTTTATCAGCCTCATTCAACAACTATATGAAGACACCACATGTCAAGTGATCCACAGTGAGAAGCTCAGTGATGATATCTTTGAAGTGAAGACAGGAAGGAGTAAGACAAGGCTGTCTTCTATCACTGATGATATTCCTGATTGTGGTCAACCGGATCATGCGACAGACAACTGTGAGGAGAGAGAATAGGGGCATGTGCTGGTTGGACGGATTAAAGACCCTAGAAGATTTGGATTTCGCCGACGACTTGTGTGTAGCGTCGAACAAACTCGAAGATCTACAGGTAAAAACTGACAAGTTGACAGAAGAGGCGAGGCAGTGAAGACGGAATAGCAAGTAAACGTAGGGAAAACAGAGGTAGTGATGATACCTAACCGATGCCACCACCACCAACAAGCTGCAATCACCATCAACGGGAGAAACTTAAAGGAAGTACTCTTTTTCACCTATCTAGGCAGCACTGTTTCAACTACACGTGGCGGTGGCGGCACAGATGAGGACGTCAAAGCCACGATAGGAAAGACAGCAAGACAGGTCTTCATTAACCTGAAACCAGTGTCAAAATCTACTGCACTCAACATAATGCATAAACAACATCCAGATTTTCAACACTAATGTCAAGTCAGTGCTTCTATGTGGTGGTTGAGAGACTTGGAGCGTCACAAAAAGCATTTCCAACAAACTGCAGACATACATCATCAACAGCTGCCGCACATCCTCACTCGATACTGACAGTGAAGATCAGATGGCCAGAATTGTAAGAATAAGCAAGGAGGAACTCTTGCTGACAACAAACCAACGAAGCAAGAACCCATCGCCCAACAAATATGCAGGAGAAAGTGTAGACGGATTGGATTGAGCATACACTGATAAGGCCATTCCGGGATATCATGCTCCACGCCAGGCCCTCAGGTGGAACCTGCATGGAAAACAACGAGTTGGACGTCTGAGGTGAGGGTGACATGGTGGAGATGGTGTGAGGAAGAAATGGAAGCTTTTGGGCAGCCGTGGAGCCAGGTCGAAAAGACTGCAGAGAAGACAGTGCAATGGAGACGTGCTACTGAGTCCCTATGCTCCACCAGGAACCCGAAGGGACAAATAATAATAATAATTTCCAAACCTAATTGTAATATTCATATGTTTGGTAAGTTGTACGACTGTTGTGTACATTTATTCTTGATTATTTTTATCTGGTAAATGTGATCAGTTTCATTTGGTTTGTTAACTCTCATTTGTAACATTCCTGGTAAAGTTTTGAACATATTAACTAAAATTTATATTTGTAGGACGTCTTGGATTGACAAAAAGCAAAATATAAGATTTAGTAGTTCTGTCATTAGTGAATTTATGCAAGAGACGAGGCAAGTCCTCGATAAAATACACAGCAAATACTCCATATAGACTTTTTAACTTATCAATTCAAATTAGTTGGTGATTGTAAAATACATTCCCAACAGATCTTATAGATTTAGTGACGTTTGTATATCCATTTTACCCCCCGTTTCAATAATATGTTTGGCTATTGAAAAGCTCGGATGTCTGTTTCCACTCTATCCTAAAAAAAGATGTACTCATGAAGCTACACAACATAGATGAGAGGGATAACTAGGTAGTCAGACAGAGACTTAATGTTACCATCAATAAAACATTATGCAGCCAAGGTTCGGATGATTGAAAAGTCGAAGCCCTTGGAACAAGTTAAATATGTAGTCACATCCCATTGTATTTATCAATTTAAATGTACGTGTGGTCACCCATATAGAGAGAAGACTCATTAGTAATTGAAAATAAGGGCTGCAGAACACATTCCAAGGTGACTTCAGAAACAAGTGCAGTCACCTGATCCAAATGATACTGGAAACAAATATTCGAGGCCCTCAACTGCTAAACATACTGTTGAAACAAGGTACAAAATGAATGTAAAGAAACAGTATCTAAACTCATCCATAAAACATACTGGGGATATATTTTAGAGTTTGTTGAGGCACTAACCATTATGAGGTCTAAAACACCTTTAAAAATAGATGATTCATTTGTTTTTCCAGTGGCGTGTATTCTCAGAAGATTTAATTTTTTCATTAATGACAGACCAACTTTTGATTTGTGTGACCTTCCTTACTTAAAATAACACCAAGTTCGTGATCATTTAAGTTCAGTAACTGTAGAATAAAATCATTTAGGAGAGTTTCTGTTTTGCCGCCAACAATCACACTAATAACTCGATGATGAGCTTAGCCTTGTTTGAAAGTATAGGGCGCTATGTTGGTGTCAGTTTTTGTATCCACAAGTAGTAGCAGCGTGACTGATCATAAATATTGAATATGAATTTATTGTTTACTAGAAACGTTTTTGATTCATAAATGTTACCAAAGTTCTTGTGATTGTATGAGTATGCTTTTCAAAAGTACTTATATAGAAGTTAATACTGATCGATGCATCTTAGACAGTTGCTAAGGTAGTACACAATTATACACTTTTACACAACTTTTATATCCATTTCTTATAGTATAGTGCAGTATTATTGTGAACATGTAGTGCATTCATTCATTGATGTAACTATGTATAACAAAAACATCATCGAAGTGAACTATTGTATTGTTTCTCTCGATTTGTTAGGTAACTGGTTTACAGAATAGAAAAAGATAAAAGTGAAACAAATATTTCTTACAATTATTAACATGCAAAAGGTTTAGTTTGCCAGACCTAAAAATATTAATAGATAATATCATAAGTCTAGGCTTAGTTCTTGAGTAATTGTCCTCATCTTCGACTTGGCTGACCCCACCAGTCACGACTTCTCATTGGAACTTCTGCCACTACCCCTCAAAGATAGTCACCAGTGATTAGATTAATTCACTTTTGAGGTTTGTGGGGACTTATTTATTGATTCTAGGTTGGTATTTATCATGAACTGACAGCAACTAAAGAAACATTGGAAACCTGGAAGTACTGAACAGTTGTTTCGTCTTAGGATGGGACTCTTCAGAAGTGCGCACCCATGACCCTGCTAGGATCGAACCCAGGATCTTCAGGTTCCGTGGCCAACACGTCACCACTAAGCCACTAGGTCGAAATCTAGTGATCCATATCTTCTTCTTCTCTCAGTTCAATCAATAAATAAACCCCCAAAAACCTCCGAACTGAATTAATCTAGTGTTCATTAGTGACTAGCTTTGACAGGTAATGTCCGAAGTTCCAATGAGAAGCCATGACCTCTGGGGCCAACTAAGTTTAGTTCTATTTGGAATTCACTTATTAACAATACCTGAATCTCAATTATTTACATAAATATTTCATTTAGATCACTATGATGATAAACACTGATTTGACAGTAACATGACTGAGTTTGAAATTTTTCAGGCAGTAGAAAAATGGGAATTTGAAATATCTTTACAATCTAGAAGCCAAAGTAACTGTCCATTTACCTAAGTTATTTCACTTTTTGACTGTAAAAACAGACAGATGCAAGTACTTACCATAGATTGACATCAGATAGAGAACCATTGGAAAACTGAGAGCACTGCACAGTTGTTTGGTCCATCCGGTTTAGCGCCGTTGCAGTTCAACTGTAATTCAAATTGGCAGAAGTAGGAAAATATGGAGAACTCAGTTTTGACCCATTGACCGAGTGATAACTTGCTGGCCACTAGACTCTACGGTCCCAGGTTTGGTCACTGTCGGGTCTTGGATGCGCACTTTTGGGGAGTCATGCACTAAGACGAAACAGTTGTCTAGTGATCACAGATTTACAGTGGCTCTCCAGTTGATGACAGTCTACAATACTATCTTGAAAAGAATCAATCTCCACAAACCTCCAAACTGAAGAACAAATAGAAATGATTCAATTGGTTGAAGACTGAAAGTAGTGATTATGGCACATAATTAAGTCGATTGCAAGAGGTTTCAACGGATTAAAAAACTCTTATTCGTCTTGATAAGTCGAAATATAACCCACTGGTTACGTCTGGAGCTCCTTTTACTTTTATTACGGTTGTAGCTGCTCATCGAACTACGAAGTTGCTACAACTTTCTACATGTAGTATCCAGATTACTTGATGTGGAGTTGAAACTTGTTTTTAAAGCTCTTGTTTTCCCTTTGTTGACTAGACTGTATTGAATGGCCTGTACTGACATAAGGGTTCCTGTGCGGATGCCTTGATATTTTGCAAAGTTTTAATTTGATGTTAATGATAGATTCTGGATAGCTAGAATATCAGAGTGTTTCCGTCGCACAAGGAGAGTCTAGCTTAACTCATTAGCGTAGTACAAAATACTCTGACCTTTGGGGATTTTAGTTTAAATATCGGAAATCAGTAAGAATGACATCACTTTCTGGAAGTCAGGTACATTCAACTGACTAGGTACCTGACTAAACACGAATTCCAGATTCCGCTGCTAACTACCATCCATTATTACTAATAAATTCTTCTCCGAACAATTCATTTTTGTTGTTTTACTTTTAGTTGTTTGGCTAAGCCCACATGTTTTGTTTACGTTGTATCCATAATACTAATTTTTGAAACACTTGGAATTTAATTCCGTTTTCACAGTTTGACTGAAACTTTCTATGAGTTAGAATTATGATTATTATTTGACTTCGGTATAGTAAATTCTTACTGTTGTTTTTATTCTCCTTTGCCTTAAAGTAGATAGAAGTGAGAAGAATACGGGAGAAAACGATAAAGTCTTGCTAGTTGAATTAGCTAGCTGTAACATTCGTGCTGGTTTCATCAAAGTTTCTGAAAGACAAGCTGTTTGGATTCCATACAATACTTATCAACGTATTGTACTCGAACAGTATATGTCACCAGAAAGTAGAAAATGGTTAAAAAACAAGACATTTGTACCCAATACTTATCCATTTTATTCAGCTCCAGGTTATCCTGCTGATGGTTTTAGTCGATTCAATTCTTATACAGACCGTCATAAGTCGAATTCACTTATTCATCCATTAAGTTTTCAGCAATTTAAACACGGTATGGATGTTCAAGTAAGACATTTTATCTACCTATTGTTTTTCTAGTTATATTTGTCCAGGTTCGTTTTTATTTCGAAAAAACTTGAAACTATCCAAATTGCTGAAGTTCATGGTCATTACAAAACGCAGTTTAACCACTATTTAGTTAAATACATACAAAACTATGTATTACAGTGCAAAAATGAAATGATGATTCCATTTTTAGTTAACTCGGAACTAATAAAACTTCATCGACTGGGATGGCTTGGACATGTACTACACATGCCAAGTCCGTGCCTGCCTCCACGTGCCATGCTAGGGGAAGTTGGACTAAGTTGGGAGAGGCTTTAGGGTAGCGAGATTAAGATCTGTCACCAGTCCATGAAGTCCCTGACTGTTGGTCTGGTTCGTGAGCGGAAATCTCAACTATTTTGCTGGAATCCCTGAGACTACTGGAATCAGTGGTTGGGGCCATTTGATGATATTACTGAAAATTGATCGCAGTGGCGTAGATGTACTCATCCTTTAATTCCGTCTAAACTTTGAGTATTTTCATAAACATTAATTCTGAAATTTCCTCTTCTCCCCATACATTTCCGTCTACTTTGATATCAGTCTTTACTGCCCACCTGTTCTTTATATACTGTTGTGAAGTGTGGCAACTTGAAGTGGCGCACTTGTGTGCAAGGTTCTATGTTGATTTTGTTTGTCTGTCCTATTCACTAGAATAAGTATTATAAGTCATGTCACCTGGGGCTACAGTTGAATGAATTAATAGCCTAGAAACTCGGTGTTAAAACACGTAAAAGAAATTATTGGATGATATTCGTCCACCTATTAATTCTCGCAATATATATTTCCAGGTGTTGAAAAACTGATCGCTAGAAGCTGTTTATTGTACTTACATGAAAACACCTAGACAAAATTGTTCCGTATTTATTAATATGAAATTTAGACATAGAAGTAATGAGTAGTCTTTTTACAGTTTTGGATGAACTTAACGGTTTTTGAAGATGATTACAATAGTTATAGATGAAGTGAGTAAAATGAATAAGAACATTTATGTTTACGTGTTTATAGATATGAATTAATCTATTTGAATAGTTATTTGGATGCGAAACAAAATTAAATGATTCATTATTAATTGAAGTATTCAACAATAATAATTTAAGTGGTTACGGGTGACCTTAAACACTACGCTTGCGAATACTAAAATAACCCACCAGGTTTCAGTATTTTGGCTGGGAAGATAGTTTTCATAAAATAAAGAAACCTAATTAGTTACATCAACAATTGCTAAGGTTACCTATGAAGTCACTGATGGTTAATCATTGTCAAGGCATTGATGTTTACGGGGGATAATTTAGTAGAGAAAGGAAAATAATATTTGTGAAAAGTCACTTGATTATCACATATCAGGAATTCCAAATGATAGTCTGGGTAGTTTTATTTCGTTATTATATCGGTGATACAAGAACATATTTAGAAAACAATAAGTAAACGTAGCCTACTTAGATTGACTAATGTATTAGTGTAATATATTTCGAACAGTCTGGTTACACGCTTACTAGTCGTTCATATGCATTTATATGAATTATAACAAAGGTTGGATGGGTTTAAATAATAATCTTTATAATAGAGAGTCGAGTGGTTACTTCAGACAAGAAGAGAAAAGTAGCATATTAATCATGCTTCATATTAAAGCTGAGTTAACAACTTAGGTTTCGTGCAACAAGGAATTCTTTTTGAATACATGAGGAAGTTTCAGTCCTTTTCATTATGAAAGTAAACACATTCATGGACAAGCATTTTTTATGATCATGTAGGTATTCTTTTGTGGAGAGAAATTTTCACACTGAACATTTAGCGTCAGTAATGCGACACTGTTAATTTACACGCAGAACCTTCTTAGGCGATTATTTTGCTAGAATAATGTTGTTATTTTTGGACAAAAATATTTCAAAACTATCATTGTATTCTAGTAAGTAAAAAAAGTTTAATACCAGGATGATTTTTTTCTTAACCCTATGCCAAGTCCCACAACAAGCATCTATTGTTAAATTTCTAGATTCTCGAGTCATGGTTACATAGTTCATTTCCGAGATACATTTACAGGGCCCTAGCATATTTATTGACATCGTGTGATGAATGTGGTGAATATTCAAAAGTAACCGTACGAGTATTCAGAGGTTCATTGTCGAGCTCTCATGCTTTAGATATAGCATTAACCTGTGGAGTAGTAAGTTCACTTCTCTGTTGGGCACCGCTGAATAACTATCTGTATGCTGCTCAACTGAATAGGTTTGTAAGAACGACAAAGGGTTGTGAGAATTGCCAACACCTACTGACTGTCTTCGCCTATTCACCCATTGACTGCAGTTCGAATGGTACAAAGGATGATTTCTATCGAACGCTATTAATTCTGTTAAATAATCAGAACGTTCAGATAAAGTTGTACAAGGAGGTAAATTCAATGCTGAAGTAGGAAAGCTGCGTGACTCAGAAAGGGATAGTATGTGCATCTATAGAATTTGATGCCAAAGAACCAACAGTAGTGGTTGTATCTTGGAATTTTGTTCTGACAATCACTTGTTTCTAGCTAGGATTAACTTCATATGTCTGCTGACACCAAAGTAATGTTGAATACAGACGGATCATATTTTTATAAGCCATCACAAGAAAGGATCGACCGGGGATCAAGGCTTCCTCTGGAGAGATTTCTGAGACTCATATCAACCTTGATGCTGGTGCATTAACACTTCCACATAGGTGAGGGCAGAAAAAACGGTAGTGAACTCTTTGTGATTGAATGTATGTTGATAGCACCAAGTTTGTATACAAGGAAGAGATAGTCACGAATTTACTCGAACATGGCAGCTATTTTCACCCCTTTTATTTCAGTATGACATTCAGTCTACTCTAGAAACAGCGATGAAGGTAGTTGGTAACCTGCATCCAAAGGTTATCAAAAGCCAGTGAATTCCGCAGCCTTACTCAAAATGACTGATACGAGAAAACTCATTCCGGATACCTCTGACCACAATGAGGAGCAAAAGCAGCTTATACAAAAGCTGACCAAAGTCTTCGAAACGGTTACGAGCAGAAGTGGGCAGCGAGAGCGAATGAGATGAAGCTGACCTCAACATTAGGTAATACTTGACAACTGTTTTGGGTGATCAAGAAAACTGACAATGAGCGGAGGAAGCTTAGTCTCAGTTTCGCCGAAAAGGATGCGCTTCTGATAACCTCTTCAGGATAGGTGGTTAGAACGTTGGACCGAACATTCTGAAGGGCAGTTCAACTGGTTAGTGGCCACGCTTCAGTTACCAATGGTTCAACCTATTTCTAAAGTAAGGTGCAGTAATCAGTCCTCCTACTCTCTTCGAAACTGAGAAGACCATTTTAGACCTGAATCGATACAAGGCAGCGGAACTCGGTGGCTTGCCACATCAGGATTCTAAAGCTAGGGGTAGAAAATTAATCAGTAAAGTAACTGAGATATCTAACATATGGGAATTAGAATTAGTTTGGTTGGATGGATCTAAATTGCTAACCAATCCAGTTTATAAGACGGTATAAATCTCCATGTGACAATCAAAAAGGAGTCAGCTTGACTATCATGTTATTTGTGAACCTGAGGTTCATAGTTATCCGGTGCCTTACTGGAGCTCGAAGGCAATAGATTTGGGAAGAGCAGGCAAGTCACAAGCATGGATGGAGGTGTATTTATAAAATCTTCGCTCTTAAACAAGTTTAAGAACACAACCATACTTTATTGTGCCTGATACTAGTCGAGCGATATGTATCAACGTTATCTACTCGAAATCACGCAGTTATGTGAGGGCTTGTCAGGAATCGTCATGTTAAAAAATGACAACCAATGACCTCTGTGAAGTATCTTCCATAGCCACCGTTACTGTTTAACTTCGTAATAGGCGTACAAATGAACATATCCCTAGGATCTTTCAAGTCTATAGGAAGAATGCCTGTTTGGGTTGGACAATGCAGACGAAATAGTCTTGTCAAGCGAAGAATAGCAAAATAAAAGGTCTTCTGAAGGCTTTGAGCATAAATTTAAATACGTTTGACACGCATTTCTCACACGTAAACTAGTGCCTCAGGACTGATTCACACGAAATTCTCCTTTAAAGATAGTATACAGTGTTAAAATTTGTTTACCACTAAATTTACTTCAGGATTTGCATAAGCCCGAACGTTTTAGTAGCTAACAAAGTCTAAGCTGTAATTCAAAAGGTCCGTTCAGCATTTTCTTACCTGGCTTAGGCGAAATACTGAAATTAACATCAGAGGATGTGTATACATTGTAGCAATCCTTTCTAATCCTCACTTACAGCTGAGACCTAAAAACTAAAATGGGAAAATTTAAGAGATTACAGGTTTTCGACTGTAAGTGCTTTCATAGCACTGCTCACGTATTTCGGAAATACCTTAAGAGCAATAGTGAGGTTAAACCTAAGACATTACGCAGGGAAGCCATTTTGGCCAATGAAATCGTGCTTTTCATGCCAAGCCATCACCTACCTGTATAAGATACGTTATCCGAAGTGGAAGGGGATTGAAAGGTAGTCAAACTAAGACATTGTAGCTGTCTATGAAGTCTTTCATTGATTGTCTGGGTCGTTTAAGGAGGTAAAGAGTGTCTGGTTGGAGTCTTCGAGATGATAGAAATCAATGCTTAAAGACTGTTGGTGAAATGGCTAAAAATCGGTCACGAACGTGCACATGTGATTCCATTTTCGTCATCATCAAGACCTTTAGTATTTTATTAGCAGTCATCTGTTTACTGTCTTCTGATATGCATTTGTCTGCTGCAGTATCACTTATTCGACACATTTTTTCTTGCATGTTGCTGTAATGTATGAGAATTCAAACATATGCCTTTCTGTGACAGGTTGTTTATTGATCTGGCTGTCAGGTTACTCAGAATGACTACTTTTATGAAGAGTTATAGATTAAGCGGGAAATTTAGAAAAACATATTTTATTTTGTTTGACTGAATATTCTTCGATTGGAAATATGAACGCCCTCACAAATTGCTTAAAATCTTATGAAGCCTTTGCTATACTTTCTGAATCAAAAATGATTTTGGAGGTGTTTATCTATTATCCTACAGCTTACATTACGTGTAGCCATAGTGCTGTGAAAATAAAGTCAGAAGCATAGCTTCTTCAAGAGAATATTCAGTCCACTTTTGGAGGTTTGTTGCGATTTTATTGACTTCAAGTTGTCATTCATCATGACTGACATCAGTTGAAGGACTATTGGAAATTTTGGAGCACTGGACAGCCGTTTTGTTACAGTAAAGGACTCCTCGGCAGTTCTCACCCATGTTTCCACTAGGGGCCAAGTCAAAGACCTTAACGTTCTACAACGAGCACGTTACCATTGAGCCACTGGGTCACAATCCCATTACCCCACACTTTCCTACTTCTATCAGTAAGCCGTATGGCACAACCTTCATGTAATACTGTCTTTGAGTATCTGTCCTTACAACCAACTTGGTTCATCCCATCGGTCATAACTACTCATTAGAACCTCGAGAATCTTATATTGAAGAAAATCTCTAATGATCACTAAAGAGTACTTCAATTTAACAGATTTGTGGGGATTTAGTGACATTCATCATAAACCGATATCAGTCGGAGAACCATTCAAAACCTACAGATTGACGGAAGTAGAAAAATTTAAACCATTGGATTTCGACCCATGTGGCTTAATGATAACTTGCTTGTCGTAGCTGCTGAAGACCCAGACCTAGATCCCTAATTGGACTTTGGGTGCTCCCTCTCAGAAGGTGCCATTCTAGGACGAAACACTTTAGTCCCAGGTTTTTAATGGTTTTCTGAATTATCTCAGTACGTGATGAATGCCAACCTCAAACTCATGGTATGGTGAATATTTATAAGACTTAATCTCAGTTTTTTTAAGAACCCACTTATTTACTACTTGAGGAAAAATTTGTTTACTGTGATTAACTAACATGCTAAAAACAGTATTAAATCTTGTACTGGCTAGAAACATTTGTGGAAAAATGTCTTAATCACTTGGAATAAATCTAAAATGAATCAAAATCCTAATTCTAAGTTTTCACAAGAAACACACCTAAACAAATCTGACTATTAACATGGCCGATGATAGATTTTAGGACGTTTTTTGGAACAGTCACCTTCTTTTTAACTTTTCCAATCGGATAAACTTACAAGGATATCAAAATCAGGATCAGTTATGCATTACGGAAAGCATTCATTCAGTAGTACTCAATGCTGAAATAACATATATTGTTTCGTATTCAGCCAGAAAGACTGAAAATACTAATAGAATTCTGGTATGAATGGGGACTTTGATCTTCAGATAGTATTTATCGCTGGCTGACATCAGTTGGAGAACAACTGAAGACCTGGGAGCACTGAACAACTGTTTCATCCTATCAAGGACTAAGCATTACGCACATGCGATCCTACCAAGGGTTGAACTGAAGACCTTCAGGTTTCCGGAGAACGCGTTAACCACTCACACACTGGGTTGGAGTTCATTCCTTCACAGTTTACAACTTTTGTCAATTCGTGATATAGCACCACTGTCCAGCAAGGTCCTTAGCTGGTATCCGCTTCCCTTTCAGCTAGTTGACCCCAAAGGTCAAAGCTTCTAATTAGAACTTCGGGATATCCGTCTGCAAGCATGTCATTAATGAGTCCTATACAGTAAAGTACCTTGAGATGAATGGGGACCCTTGCATAAATGTGATTTTATTACTCAGAATTAACTTAGATGTAAAAGTTAATACAGTGAAATAAATGACTTTTTATCATTGCATTCTAGTTAAAAGTTAAATATACAAAACTGTTCAGTTAGTGTATTTTACTGAAATCCATTGCTTCAATTGTGAATCTGTGACACTTACTGTAAGAGAGTATCAAAGTTAGCTAGTGAGTTCAGCACTGGTATGCTATTGTTCATACGTCACTCAAAAAGATCTCTTCTATTACTCTGGGTGAACTGCACTATTTTTGTGTACTTTAGATTTCAGTCACTTTCTGATAAGCTACAGTTCTTGCTATTTTTTTTGCTGTTGTTGAATTAACTCAGAAACCTATAACCACTTTTAATAATATTGTTGGAATTTTTGAATGATTATCAACGTTTTAGTTCGAATACTGCCCATCTATTCAATGTTGGCCACTTTATTCAGTTGTGAACGATCTGCTACCGACAGCTAACGGTTGTCCTGTATGGTTGGATAATGACAAAAGCAATAGGAAGCTGACGACCTCAGAAAAACAAGACGCTTGCATGAATAGTATTCAGTCCAGTGAAGTGAAACACAAAGGTGATTGTGAGCCCCAACTTGTTTACAGATCACATCTTAGACACGTAAGATGAACGGACAACTACTACACTTGTATTTAGCAGTAATTTACTGCTAAAATGTTTGCTGTACATTGGATTGAAGAAATAAATATGTACTTTCAAGCTGCTGTTTTTTTCTTTTTACAGAGAAGCCTAACATTTATTTCAAGGAACATTAATGATATGTAAATAAAAATTGCTTTTATCTTACTGTAGCCCTATTAATCAATTAGGTGGTAATGTGAACATTGGGTGACTCTGCGGCATAGCTAAACTTTTATTATAAATACAAAAGGATACTAGAAGAGATCAGGTGGAATTACTCAAGTATCATTATTTTTACCTGACACTGGAGATACATTTCACTGGCAAATACCGGCCAACCTGAAATTTAGGCCTCGTTAGGATTTCTTTTCAATTTCCTGAAAGTCCTGTACATCTTCAGTGTGACGTGAAGTAAACCTCTTGATATAAATCAAATTTTTTACCAAGAACAATATCAAAAGTCTTGAAAGTAAGAATGGCTTGATACAAAACATGAGAATAAACACATTTCAGAATCAAATTTTCAGCTACGGTTTCGATTCATTAAGTTAATATTATTTCGAGCATTTGAAATAATTCTCTTCCATATGAATTAAGTCCAAAGGGTGAGTAAATAATTGTTGAATGGTGATATGCTCAGTTTAGGTGTATCAGTAACGTAAACGGAAAACCACTTTTTGTGATCTGGTGACAAAAAGTATAACCGTCGGCCAGATAAGTAATGAATACATAAAATGCACCCTTGAGCTATGCAAATTCTTCTTGTTTCAGCATTAAAACATTCATGATATATTTATTTCAAGGTGGTATACATCACGGATTGACATCAGTTAGAGGAGAACCTTAGAGTACTGGGACAAAAAGCACTGTATAGTGCTCACCAGTGAAGTGCTTTGAGATGGATATCCTGAAGTTCTACTGAGAAGAGTTATGCCAACTGAAGACCTTGTTTGGTAGTCGCGCTATATCGCAAATTGTCAGAAATCAGAAACTGTGAAGAAGGGAACTCCAACCTAGTGGTTGAGCGGTTAAGCCGTTCTCCGTGAGACCTGTAAGTCCTAAGTTCGACCCCTGATAGGGTTGTAGGTGCATACTGTTGAAGAGCCCGATACTAGGATGAGAAAGCTGTCCCAGGTTTTTAATAGTTCTCCAACTTATGTCGGTTGGTGATAAATACTACCTTGGTAAAAAAAATTCCCATAAAACTGAAACGATCTTGTTCTAACATATTTATTTACTAAACATGTTAACATAACATGTTAAGAGAATCAAATTCATCAGCATTATACATTTGGACCAGGAAAAACAATGTTAAATTATTTTTACTAAAGCTGTGAAAACCAGCAGTGAACTGACTATTCACATATATTCCCGCTGATAGATGTCAGTCTATTACTTATTATGAGGAGATCTTAAGTGAAAATAAGTAGTTTTGTTTACAAAACCAAATCACTATCCAATTTCTGTTTATCTACTTTCCCATCAGTTTTCATTCGATCACGCTAGTTAATTTATTCAGAAATCCTAAATACAAATAATGTGACTGTATAAGTTAATGTTTATCCTTGCATTTAATCAATAACTCAGTGTGAATGATAAGGAATTGATGGTAAAAGACAAAAATATTGAATTGACAAACATGTGTTAACTCAGTTACTTTTCATTTCTATAGTAATGGTACGCTGTAACACAAACAGCTAGAGGAAAATTAACTATTCAAAATCGTTTACATCTATATTCTTTTCCATTCCTCGTTAGTGATATTATAGGGTAATAATAATAATAATAATAATAATAATAATAATAATAATAATAATAATGAAGTATACGAATTCATTCATTTAGAAAGTAATCGGATTGTATTCAAATTGTTCTTAACTCAAAATGTTGGGAACTGTGTTGTGAGAAATACACTAGCTAGCTTTGAAAACCATCCACAACTAAGTATGCTGTTTATGGTTTCAGCCGTAATGATTTTATGATTGATCTGACTAGCAAAGTCTACAGATCAACCTGAGACGTTTCTGACTACTCAGTCTGTTCAATAGCAGTGTATTTCACTAGTTCATTAAACTTTTGTGTCAGAGACCATACATTATGATTTTGACTGAGTGATTTACAGCCTGTTGACACCACAGTAGGATAGCTGAAAAAAATACTCAGTTGTAAGAAATGTCAACGTGAAGCGAGCAATTTTCATTGCATCATTTACAAAAGAGTTATAATTGTTTGTAAATAAATCACTGAAAATAACCAATAATCGTTGTTTTACCAACCTTTCTCACAGTCATCCTATAGTTAATGTCTTACTGCAAAAAAGTTGTTACTAACTACAGATACATGATTCATAAGTCAGTTTCTTTCCTTGTTTCAAGTTGAACTGGTGAATGAGAACCAGTGGGTAAATGAAGGTTTTGTCTTCAATGATTATGATTATTACTTGAATGCTTCATCTGTGATAAATACACTAATATTTCTGGAAACAGTAATGGTTTCGATCCGTAACTGACGCTTTGAGTTCCCTGACAGTTAGTTGTTTTTGAAAAATGAGTATTCTTCTTCGAACAGAAAACCCTGCGGTAAAACTATTATAATAACAGTCTTATCTTCTCTTATGTTATTCTACTCAGATAATTATTTGTGTTCAAAATAAGTAATACCAAAAAAAAGAAGAAAGGAAAGAAGCAAATGAGATCTTTTATACTGAGGGATTATTGAAGGTGAAATGAGAATCTGAACCACAGCAGGATTCGAATCTGTGACCATCAGGTTTCTAGCCGGGTGTTTTACTAAATGGGCCACAAGACCTGTCGGCAGAACAGATGTTAACTTCTTTGTGTTTCAGTTAATCAGCTTGTAGAATGACTTGATAGTACTAATGAGAATAGAACCAACTCCAAATGACCTATTTATTAATCAGTTGTGATTATGAATCCTGATAAACGGCATTCGGGGTAAATTTTTACTTGGAATACACATCTTACAAAAGATAATAATATGCTTTTAGTTGGTAAAAGTCAGCGTGTATCATTTCTAAGCAACACGATTTACACAAATGAATTAATTTCTTAATCTTTATACTATGCTAATTTAAAAGAATTTAAATAGCTTTATGAAAACTCACTATAGAGAGAAAAAGAACACAACTTTATCAGGTTGCAGTGAAAATTATGTGCACTTTAAAAAGTACACAGACTTTTTTCATAGAAGTTCAGTTTTTCTATAACAACGGAAATGTCTGAGTCGCTATACTGTGTTAAATTTTGTGTTTATTTATCAAGTCAATGATACTGTATAATTCTTTCCTAGTGACATATATGCATTGAAAATTTCCTATTTACCATTTTGTCCTAATTGTTACACGTTTTAAAGCAATCAATATTGCGTTATTATTCTCCATTTTTATTGCTTCTATAAAAATTCCTTTGGAAAGTAAGTTAATGAGGAGGAAAGAGAATAAACAAAAGGTCATTTCTAAAGTAAATTTTCAGTCTTTAAGTGAAACAATTATTATAAATGTAGAATAGATACTTTAATGACACTTTAGGCGAGAAATTATATCGTTGAAATCGCAAAACAAGAAGGAAGCAACAAACAAGGTACATATGATTAAGTAACTGTATTCATGGCAATGTTAAAGAGGGAATTTAAGCGTTTCTGTACACTTTAGTTTATTGTTCACTTTTTTTAAAACAACCAATTATCTGATTAAATTTAATCTATAAATTAGGTTATTTATTAACTATTATTAACTAACATTTGAAGTTATTCACTAAACTTTTAGAAAATCTTTTAATTAATTTTAGGTCATTAAGATCATATGAAAAGTAGTATTGTTATTATTCTATTTGACGCACAGTTATATTAATTAGGGTTAATCCTATAGCTGTTTATTGAATAACCGACTGTTGAAAAAATACCAGGTGGAAAAAAGAGGTCATAGTTAGACTTTAAACAAATCTAGGGGATCAGAGCCAACGTAGGATTCCCAATATGTAATCTACGGAAAGCTACTAATAAACTTTTTAAAAATTTATCGGATGTGGAGTAGAGATGGACAGTTCACTGCAGCTAGTATTAACATATATCGGTTGGTTGGAGGCAATCGGCAGGAAGCCCTGGATCCAGATTTCGTGCTTGTTGACACTCGTCAGCAAGGAGTATCTGCAATCTCGATGAAACTGACGTCCCGCCCGGGATTCGAACCTGCATCAATGCATGTAACCCAATCCTACAGGAGGTCAGTCGCGTCCCGGGTTGCTCAGTGGTATACTGACGTAGGTTTGAATCTCAGGCGTGACATCAGTTTCACTTAAATTGCAGATACGCCTTGTTGATGAGTGCCAACAAGCACAGAATCTAGGTCTAGGGCTTTCTGTTGATTCCCTCCAACCAAGTAACTTCAACTAGTGTGCGCTGCGATGTTGAGTTTCGTAGCCTGGTGGCCACATTGCAAATATGACCGATAAGATTCGGTCTGTACTCAGGATCAGACAACATGAAATCGGTTGCTCTCCGATGACCAGTCAATGCAGGTAACAGATATCTTTGTGACCAACCTTCAGAAGATAAAGCTTAAACATGCAATTTAAGAAATGATAGCTTGTTTCACATGTATCATTGATTGTATTTGGTAACCTATATCAAGCGTCCTAATCACTACAGCTCTCCTTTGATGACCATGAAGACTGTGTTCATCATGCGATATGAGAACAACAGGTTCGGCATTTTAGATATCGTCCTGCAACACAGAAAAGTTGGTAGTCGTATAAGGTTCATTCACCAAAAGACTACATGAAGTGGGTTATGCCTACATTTTATTGTCCTATGTTTGATCAGTTATAAAAGAGCATTGCTCAAACCATCATTCACGAAAACCAGAAGGACATTTTCCACAGATAAATTGGGAGAAAAGTCACTGAGCATTGAAAAAATCCTTCATGACAATGGTCATCTACAGAAATTGACCAATTAGTGGAGAAGACCACAAGATTGTAAGTTAAAGAATATCAAATTAAGTTGCACCCCTCTTCTTTTGCTATTATTCATTTGGTTTCCTATTCTTACATAATTAAC